CCACTCCTTCCTTAACTATTTTTAACTCCCCCTTATGCTAATGGAACTCTGCCTCTCCCACCCCCTTTAACCCCTGTCATACCGGCCCTTCGTTCAGGTCTTCTTTCTTCTTACTCCAGGCTCACAGCCGGGTGCCCACACTAAAGATGCCGGCGCCGGAAGACTGTACAGCCCTGGACCGAGAAACAGGTTAGGTTCTGCTGCAGAGAAGAGCTTAGCGGCCATCCCAGTATTCTGACACGGTGGTGGTGGCGGCGGAAATACCGCACCGGCTGCTCCATATTCGCTCCATAAGATGCACTGACATTTCCCCATGGGGGAAAAAAGTGCGTCCTATGGAGTGAAAAATACGGTAAGTCAAACTGGGTTGGAAGTAGCTGGATTGAGTAGTGAGTGTACCCCATACTCATTAACATGGGGGGAGGGATCTGGGGGCCCCCTTGTTAAAGGAGGCTTCCAGATTCCGATAAGCCCTCCACCCGCAGATCCCCACAACCACCGGCCACAGTTGTGGGGAAGAGGCTCTTGTCCCCACCAACATGGGGACAAGGTGTTTTGGGGGGGAGCCCCCTACCCCAAAGCACCCCCCCACATGTTGAGGGCATGTGGCCTGGTATGGTTCAGGAGGGGGGGATGCTTGCTTGTCCCCCTCATTTCTGACTTACTGGGCTGCATGCTCGGATAAGGGTCTGGTATGGATTTGGGGGGAGGGGACCCCCCGTCATTTTTTTATTTAATTTTGGTGTGTGGGTTCCACTCAAAATCCATACCAGACCCGAAGAGTTGGCCATTATTTGCTGGCAATTCTTTTTACATTGAAAGAATATTGTCACTACTAAAATACCACAAGCCGTAATAATATAACTCATGCGATGGTGTAGTAGCTGTGCCGTATCTTACCACTTATAGGCACAACAAGGTAAAGTGAGAGCTATGGGTAAGCTGCTGTGACACCAAAAAAAGGTACCAAAAAACCTTCCAACTCAGTAATGTAAAAAACAGGTGCAGCGCTGAAATCAAAATAACCGATATCAAAATAAAGTGCAATGAATCAAAAGGTGCAAATCAAATAATGAAATATAAATAAACCAGCAAAAATGAATATATCACTATATCAAAATAATATGTAAAGTGATGTAAGTGCATATAAAGTGACCATAGGTTATGACATACAGTATATGAGTCCATAAAGTGACAAAGTGAATAATATATATATATAGTTGTGTTCAAAATAATAGCAGTCAGACATCACTAACCGGATCAATCACTGTTTCTGGTAGAAATGATATTCCTACATGGCAAATAATTTCCTAGCAGGTGTAGTAGAGTAATAGAAATCCAACAGACCCAACAGTCATGACATGCATGCTGCTGATTCTGTGTCATTGAATCACTCATTGAGGGCGTGTTCAATATAATAGCCGTGTGGAGTTCTATTAGTGAGGTCATTCATTCTTTGAAAAACAGGTGGCAATTATTGCCCTTATTTAAGGAAGGAAGGCAGCAAATGTTGGACATGCTGGTTACAGTGCATTTCTCTCTGAAATTCTGAGGAAAATGGGTCGTTCCAGATGAATTGTTCAGAAGAACAGCGTACCTTGATTAAAAAGTGGATTGGAGAGGGGAAAACATAAAGAAGTGCAGAAAATGATCGGCTGCTCAGCTAAAATGATTGCAAATGCTTTAAAATGGCAACCAAAACCTGAAAGACGTGGAAGAAAGCGAAAAACTACCATTGGAATGGATAGAAGAATAGCCAAAATGGGGCGGACTCAGCCAACAATCAGCTCCAGGAAGATGAAAGACGGTGTGACATTCCCTGTGAGGACTGTTACAATTAGAAGACGCCTATGTGAAGCCAAGCTATCTGCAAGAAGTCCCCGCAAAGTCCCACTGTTGGAAAAAAGACGTGTGCTGAAGAGGTTACAATCTGCCAAAGAGCACATTGACCGGCCTAAAGAGAAATGGCCCAACATTTTGTGGACTGATGGAAGTAAGATTGTTCTTTTTGGGTCTAGTGGCCGGAGACAGTTTGTCAGACGACCCCCAAACACTGAATTCAAGCCACAGTACACTATGAAGACCGTGAAGCATGGTGGTGCAAGCATCGTGATATGGGGATGTTTCTCATACTACGGTGTTGGGCCTATTTATCGCATACCAGGGATCATGGATCAGTTTGAATCCATCAGAATACTTGAAGTGGTCATGCTGCCTTATGCTGAAGAGCAAATGCCCTTGAAATGGGTGTTCCAACAAGACAACGACCCCAAACACACCAGTAAACGTGCAACATCTTGGTTCCAGACCAACAAGATGGACGTTATGGAGTGGCCAGCCCAATCCCCGGATCTTCATCCAATAGAAAACTTGTGGGGTGACATCAAAAATGCCGTTTCTGAGGCCAAACCAAGAAATAGAGAAGAACTGTGGAATGTGGTCCAATCATCCTGGGCTGGAATACCTGATCACAGGGGCCAGAAGTTGGGTGACTCCATGCAACACAGATGTACAGCAGTTCTCAGAAACAGTGCGACTACAACCAAATATTCATGAAGTCATTCAAAGGAAAGCAAAATCTTCAAACATTTCTCAGTTTATATAGTGAATGTTTGAGTTTGTAAAGAAGAATACAAACACAGCGATTTTTTTTGAACCGTCTAATATTCACTTTTCTTCAATATTTTTAGAGGAACAACACAAATTATATATATATATATTATTCACTTTGTCACTTTATGGACTCATATATGTCATAACCTATGGTCACTTTATATGCCCTTACATCACTTTACATATTATTTTGATATAGTGATATATTAATTTTTGCTGGTTTATTTATATTTCATTATTGCATTTGCACCTTTTGATTCTTTGCACTTTATTTTATATTGATCTCAGGTCTGCACCTGTATCTTACCACATACTCAGATGCGGCGAAATCCTGCTCAGTGAATTGTCCCCTCTGTTTGAAGCTCATGGTCGAATGTTCAACCGTGAACCGAACAGGTGGGTGTTCGACCCATCACTAGTGCTGGGGAATTTGTGTCTGTTTGTGTCGGTCTATTCCTTTACCCCCATGCACTTTTTTTCCGTGTGCTGTGGTTTCACGGTTCACTTTTTGTTTATAAAGTTTTGACAAGTACTGCACCGCAGAGCTCCGAAAATGACCTGTCACAAGCCAGAGCTCTGGGTGGAAGAAAAGTCCTTTAATGACGGATTTATTTTACAAGAACAGATCGCATGAATGTTGAAATGACATGTATTTGTATCTAATGCTTCCTAAACTTGGAAATGATAGAAGGGTTTGCCACAATGATCACGTTCTTTGCATTCAGTCTATCATGAATGCTGCTGCCAGACTCATCCACCTTAGTAACCGTTCCATATCTCCCACCCCTCTCTGCCAATCCCTCCACTGACCTCCACTCAGTTTCCTCCATCCCTCTCTGCCAATCCCTCCACTGGCCTCCACTCAGTGTCCTCCATCCCTCTCTGTCAATCCCTCCACTGACCTCCACTCAGTGTCCTCCATTCATCTCAGCCAATCCCCCCACTGGCCTCCGTTCAGTGTCCTCCACCCCTCCCTGCCAATCCCTCCACTGGCCTCTCCATCAGTGTCCTCCACCCCCCTCTCTGCCAATCCCTCCACTGGCCTCCACTCAGTGTCCTCCACCCTCTCTGCCAATCCCTCCACTGGCCTCCACTCAGTGTCCTCCATCCCTCTCTGCCAATCCCTCCACTGACCTCCACTCAGTGTCCTCCACCCCTCTCTGCCAATCCCTCCACTGACCTCCACTCAGTGTCCTCCACCCCTCTCTGCCAATCCCTCCACTGACCTCCACTCAGTGTCCTCCACCCCTCTCTGCCAATCCCTCCACTGACCTCCACTCAGTGTCCTCCACCCCTTTCTGCCAATCCCTCCACTGACCTCCACTCAGTGTCTTCCATTCATCTCAGCCAATCCCTCCACTGGCTTCCGTTCAGTGTCCTCCACCCCTCCCTGCCAATCTCTCCACTGGCCTCCACTCAGTGTCCTCCATCCCTCTCTGTCAATCCCTCCACTGGTCTCCACTCAGTGTCCTCCACCCCTCTCTGCCAATCCCTCCACTGGTCTCCACTCAGTGTCCTCCATCCCTCTCTGCCAATCCTTCCACTGACTTCCACTCAGTGTCTTCCATTCATCTCAGCCAATCCCTCCATTGCCCTCCGTTCAGTGCCCTCCATCCCTCCCTGCCAATCTCTCCACTGGCCTCCACTCAGTGTCCTCCATCCCTCTCTGCCAATCCCTCCACTGACCTCCACTCAGTGTCCTCCACCCCTCTCTGCCAATCCCTCCACTGACCTCCACTCAGTGTCCTCCACCCCTCTCTGCCAATCCCTCCACTGACCTCCACTCAGTGTCCTCCACCCCTCTCTGCCAATCCCTCCACTGACCTCCACTCAGTGTCCTCCACCCCTTTCTGCCAATCCCTCCACTGACCTCCACTCAGTGTCTTCCATTCATCTCAGCCAATCCCTCCACTGGCTTCCATTCAGTGTCCTCCACCCCTCCCTGCCAATCTCTCCACTGGCCTCCACTCAGTGTCCTCCATCCCTCTCTGTCAATCCCTCCACTGGTCTCCACTCAGTGTCCTCCACCCCTCTCTGCCAATCCCTCCACTGGTCTCCACTCAGTGTCCTCCATCCCTCTCTGCCAATCCTTCCACTGACTTCCACTCAGTGTCTTCCATTCATCTCAGCCAATCCCTCCATTGCCCTCCGTTCAGTGCCCTCCATCCCTCCCTGCCAATCTCTCCACTGGCCTCCACTCAGTGTCCTCCATCCCTCTCTGCCAATCCCTCCACTGGCCTCCACTCAGTGTCCTCCATCCCTCTCTGTCAATCCCTCCACTGACCTCCACTCAGTGTCCTCCATTCATCTCAGCCAATCCCCCCACTGGCCTCCACTCAGTGTCCTCCATCCCTCTCAGCCAATCCCTCCACTGGCCTCCACTCAGTGTCCTCCATCCCTCTCTGCCAATCCCTCCACTGGCCTCCACTCAGTGTCTTCCATCCCTCTCAGCCAATCCCTCCACTGGCTCCCACTCAGTGTCCTCCATCCCTCTCAGCCAATCCCTCCCACTGGCCTCCACTCAGTGTCATCCATCCCTCTCTGCAGTGTCAATCCCTCCACTGGCCTCCACTCAGTGTCCTCCATCCCTCTCAGCTAATTCCTCCACTGACCTCCACTCAGTGTCCTCCACCCCTCTCTGCCAATCCCTCCACTGACCTCCACTCAGTGTCCTCCTCCCCCCTCTGCTAATCCCTCCACTAGCTTCCCATTGCCCAACGAATAAAATTCAAAACACTAACAATAACATATAAAGCCATTTATAACTCCGCCCCAAATTACATCACCAATCTTGTCTCCAAATATCACCCAAACTGTCCTCACCGCTCCTCGCATAACCCTCCTGCTCTCTAGCTCCCTTGTCTCCTTCTCCCATGCTCGTCTCCAGGACTTCTCCAGAGCCTCTCCCATCCTCTGGAACTCTCTACCCCAATTTATCAGACTATCGCCTATTCTGCTCACTTTTAGACGATCTCTGAAAACCTCTCTCTTCAGGGAAGCCTATCCCGCCGGGGGGTGGGGGGTTGGGGGGGTTGGGGGGGGGGGTTGGGGTTGGGGGGGGGGATATTTCAGGAACAATGAACTGTGATTTGTACCAAATGTCCTGACTGCAGAATTCAGCTAAAAACCAAATTAAATGAAACAGGAGCCAGAAGAGAATGAAGCCGCGGCGGGATCGTGTGTCGGCGGTGTGCGCATCTTCCCGGAATGGTGAGAGACGAGTCACTGGAAGCGGGGGAACCATTGGTCAAAACAATTGCCACACAGAAGAACAAACACAACAGTCCTGTCTTTGGCCGCATCTGAGCTCCCACTAAATTATTCCCCAGTTTATTCAAGTTGAAAATAAAAAGTTGAAGTGTTACTAAACCCACAACAGTACAATCAGTCTGTAGATGCAGTAAAGCATGTTTGTTATACTCACTGTGGAACCTAAGGGGTTAATCCTACGCATTGTGTAAAAAGGCTGTTTGATCTTGTCTTCCCTGATCCTCCCCTTCTTCTACTGTCCCCAATCCATCTGCTGATAGTACAGAGTTCTACTAGTCACTCTGTACATGCTCAGTTTTGTGTATTGCTAGAGAGTTTTCTTTTTTATTTGGGGGGGGGGGTGCGAGCATGCGATCATCACAGGGCCAATCAGCGCTGTCCAGAGGTCAGGTTATGCGCAGCCTCATGGGACAGTCAGGAGAGAAATGAAAACTCCTCCTACAAGCTTTAACCAGTGCTCTGCCGGACACTGATAGAAGTTGTAAGACTGCTATATACTGCTGATGAGATAAGGTATTTAGCAGTTTATATTTACTAAAATAATAATTGCATTTCCATGTTGTGTGTACTGTGGAGACCAGATATAGTGAATGCAGGGTCCGGGAGAGCGGATATAGTGAATGCGGGGTCCAGGGAGAGCAGATATAGTGAATGCGGGGTCCGGGGAGAGCGGATATAGGGAATGCGGGGTCCGGGGAGAGCGAATATAGTGAATGCAGGGTCCGGGGAGAGCGGATATAGTGAATGCAGGGTCCGGGGTGAGCGGATATAGTGAATGCGGGGTCCGGGGAGAGCGGATATAGTGAATGCGGGGTCTGGGGAGAGCAGATATAGTGAATGCGGGGTCCGGGGAGACCAGATATAGTGAATGCAGGGTCCGGGGAGAGCAGATTTAGTGAATGCAGGGTCCGGGGGAGAGCGGATATAGTGAATGCAGGATCCAGGGAGACTGGATATAGTGAATGCAGGGTCCGGGGAGAGCGGATATAGTGAATGCAGGAACCTGGGAGACCAGATATAATGAATGCAGGAACCGGGGAGAGCGGATATAGTGAATGCAGGGTCCAGGGAGACCAGATATAGTGAATGCAGGGTCCGGGGAGAGCGGATATAGTGAATGCAGGAACCGGGGAGACCAGATATAGTGAATGCAGGGTCCTGGGAGACCAGATATAGTGAATGCAGGGTCCGTGGAGAACGGATATAGTGAATGCAGGGTCCGGGGAGAGCAGATATAGTGAATGCAGGGTCCTGGGAGAGCAGATATAGTGAATGCAGGGTCCGGGGAGAGCAGATATAGTGAATGCAGGGTCCTGGGAGAGCAGATATAGGGAATGCAGGGTCCGGGGAGAGCAGATATAGTGAATGCAGGGTCCGGGAGAGCGGATATAGTGAATGCTGGGTCCGGGGAGACCAGATATAGTGAATGCGGGGTCCGGGGAGAGCAGATATAGTGAATGCAGGGTCCGGGGAGAGCGGATATAGTGAATGCGGGGTCCGGGGAGAGCGGATATAGTGAATGCAGGGTCCGGGGAGAACGGATATAGTGAATGCAGGGTTGACTGTACCTGAGGCGTTAATTTTAGTGTGAACTGAGCCTAAAGGTTAGTATAGGTAAGGGAACGGGACTGGCCAGAAATTGTGAATGCAATCAGACTAGTGGCAAGATTCAATTAGGAATCTTATAATAATGCCAGATCTGAGCTGTAGGTGATAGGAGATGGGACACATCTCTGCCAATCCCTCCACACTAGGGTCTCTCCACTCAGTCCTCCACTCAGTGTCCTCCACCCCTCTCTGCCAATCCCTCCACTGACCTCCACTCGGTGTCCTCCACCTCTCTCTGCCAATCCCTCCACTGGCCTCCACTCAGTGTCCTCCACCTCTCTCTGCCAATCCCTCCACTGGCTTCCACTTAGTGTCCTCCACCCCTCTCTGCCAATCCCTCCACTGGCTTCCACTCAGTGTCCTCCACCCCACTCTGCCAATCCCTCCACTGGCTCCCGCTCACCCAACAAATAAAATTCAGGATACTTGCAACAGCTTATAAAGCCATCCACAACTCAGCCCCTAGTTACATCACCAACCTGGTCTCAAAACACCAACCAAATCGTCCTCTTTGTTCTTCCCAAGACCTTCTTCTCTCTAGCTCCCTTGTCACCTCCTCCCATGCTCGCCTCCAGGATTTCTCCAGAGCCGCTCCCATCCTCTGGAACTCCCTTCCCCAATGTGTTCGACTATCTCCATCTCTGTCCACTTTTTAGACGATCACTGAAAACTCATCTCTTCAGAGAAGCCTATCCTGCCTAACACCTAACAGCTGTACATGTATTTTGTCCATCAGCCCATCCCCTATAGTTATTACCTTTTGTATCTCTTGACCCTCCCTCTTAGATTGTAAGCTCTAAGGAGCCGGGCCCTCTGGATCCTCCTGTATTAAATTGTATTGTCATTGTACTGTCTGCCCTTACGTTGTAAAGCGCTGCGTAAACTGTTGGCGCTCTCTAAATCTTGTATAATAATAATACAGTACTTTTTTATTTTGGTATTATCCAAGTTGGATTTAAATTCTAGTAATGTTGCATATTTGAGGTATCGCTAAACATTTAGACCTGTAGTTTTTTTTTTCCTTTCAGGACATGGAAGAACCCTATATCAGAGGTATACGGCTCTCCTAATATTTGTAATATAATCGGCATTCTGCATACCAGAAAAGGTCTCATTCATTTGTATCATTATTTATTGATGCCAGATCCGGTTGTGCAGATGTGACTCAACCTTCTGTTGCGTTTCTTGGGTTTCTTGTAAACCATATTTTTCCTAAAAAAAGGAAACCGGTTTATACTTACCTTCTCATAACAGCCCCAAACCTTCTTTTATGGGCAAGGGTGACTTTGCCGCAAGGCAAACAAGGCGTTTGCCTAGGGCAACAATTTTCCACCCCCCCCCCCTCCCCCTGGAAGCAGGGACATTGTGGCAGCTGATGACTGGGGAGCCGTGGAGGCAGAGGAACAACAGATGCTGGTATCTACGAGAGGCGGCTCGATGGCGTCAGACTCTACTTCCCTGTCCTCATCATGGCTTCCACCATGCCAGGCAGATGTCATTCTTTGAGCTGGTGAGTGCTGGAATGGAGGAGGACAGTGTAGAGAAGGTGAGTTATCCGTGACAGGCTGGGGGCTGCTGGATCTGGTGTCCGATTGTCTGGGGGGGGGAATAATGGTTGGAGATGGGTGGCAACCGATTTTTGTGTTGCATCCTGTCTCCCGCCCGTGCTGTCAGATCCTCCTCTTCTGGGGTACCCCGTCAGCACTGTTGGATCCTCCTTTTCTGGGGTACCTCGTCAGCACTGTTGGATCCTCCTTTTCTGGGGTACCCCCATCAGCGCTGTTGGATCCTCTTCTGGGGTAACCCATCAGTGCTATTGGATCCTCCTCTTCTGGAGTACCCCCAGCACTGTTGAATCCTCCTCTTCTGGGGTCCCCTGCCAGCACTGTTGGATCCTTCTCTTCTGGGGTACCCCGTTAGCACTGTTGGATCGTCCTTTTCTGGGGTACCCCCATCAGCGCTGTTGGATCCTCTTCTGGGGTAATCTATCAGTGCTGTTGGATCCTCCTCTTCTGGAGTACCCCCAGCGCTGTTGAATCCTCCTCTTCTGGGGTCCCCTGCCAGCGCTGTTGGATCCTCCTCTTCTGGGGTAACCCATCAGTGCTGTTGGATCCTCCTCTTCTGGGGTCCTCC